AAAATCGCTATGACGCGCTGATTGGCTGTGGGTGGGCCAGACGTGCATGTGGGCCCACCCACAGCTACGCCACTGCTGTATATAAAGGTTAAAATCAATAGGCACGCAATGACTCTAAATAATAACTAGAGAATGCAATTCCTGAAGATATTGCTAGTGGGAATGCTTTATGCTGAAAAGCTGACGCTGAATTGCTATGCTGAAATGTAATGTGTAAGAAGAAAGTGAAGAATTTAGATTGAAATGATACATGAACACTGGGGGCTTGAATGTGTGATGAGAGAAGAAAAGAAAGTAAAAAGGCTTGGAAAAGCAGCAGAATATTTGAACTGCAAACTTTAGAACTAACTTGATGGCGAATGATCTGTCGCCAACGGCATTTGAAGAAATCTCAAAACTGTCCCGTAGATGTCTTCACGGCTGGACTGTTAGCACACATGTGAATTTTGAGCACTTTTTGAACATTTTCATAGGAGTTAAAGGGACATCGTCTTTTATGGCGAGGGATGCGTTTCCATGGAAACGGCATATGGTGAGATCTCAGATTTGGCGTAGAGCTGTTGAGGCATGGACCGGTGATATACAAGTGAAGATTGGGGGACGATTGGACCGTGTCCATTGGACTTACAGCGACATCGTGTTTCATGGCGAGTGGTCTGTCGCCATGGCAACGGCATTTGATGACACCCCATACTACGCTTAGATGCGTTGATGGCTGCATCGTTACCAAACCTGTGAAGTTTTGGGCCGTTTGAAGCATTTTCACTGAAGTTATGAGAAAACCGTGTTTCATGGTGAGCATTGTGTCGCCATGGCAACGGCATTTGAAGAAATCTCAAAACTGTCCCGTAGATGTCTTCACGGCTGGACTGTTAGCACACGTGAAGTTTGAACACTTTTTGAACATTGTCATAGGAGTTATACATTACATTAGGAGGTTACACTACTCTCTCTCTTCTCTTGATCGCCCTCTCTCTCTTCTCTCTCTCTTCTCTTGATCTTCGGCATATGATGATGACACCCCATAATTGACGTAGAACTGTTGAGGGCAGGACCATTAACCTTTATCTGAAGTCTGCTGCTCTGAGCATGTCAGTTGGAGTAATGACATCATCGTGTTCCATTGCACAGGTGTTTATAGTTGAGCTAACGAGCTCTGCAGAGATCAAAGGTTTCCATTGTTCTGAATGAGAGATAAAGAACCGTGTCGAAGAACCGTAACAGATATCTGTGAAATTTCAAAACGTGAAGCATGTCAAGGAAGTTGAGTATCTGAAGTGTAATTTTTGTGTACTTTCGGGTTAATAATGTGGCCTTTTTGGCAGTTTAACTAAAAGGTGTGCGGCTGCTGCTGCAGGAAATATCAGCCTGAAATTACAATGGGGTTTAATGGAGACATGTTGAACGTTTTTGTCACTTCATGCCGTCAAGAGGAATTTTTTGAATTATTTTTTGCTTAATTATTTGTCATTTTTCAAGCTACGAGATGTTTTCCTACGTTTGTCATGAAAAATGATGTCTCAGGAATGTAGGGTTTGGGAATTATGGCAGTTTTAAAAAAAATATGAAGGCACATTTCAAGAATTCCCACACTCTAGCTGTGACATCACGCACTCTAGTTAATGTTAAAATCTGAAGAAAACCTCTTTAACAAGGTCTGAACAATGTTTAATATCTCTAAAAGTAAGAATCAGATTTAAAAGTTGTGTTACAAGAATAATGTCAGAAATATGTGTAACATTGTAAAGTTGGAATGAGGTTTCTGAGTATGAATGAACAGTTAGCAGTTGAAGTCACATGAAGATTTGTTGAAGTCTGAAGAATGTCTCCATTGACTTCCATGTTAAAAATGTGATGTATTATGGGATGTATCTCTGGAATTATGAAAGTTATGAATGATAAAAGTAATAGCCTGCGATTCCCGACCGAGCTGAACGTTTTGATGTTTGAACGGAGTTTCTGCGATGTTGAATGTGGGAGGAGAAGACGGCCAAAATAAGTCGGCGGAATAATAATAAGAATTTTCTCCGTAGCATAACAGATAGTTGGAATGCTGTATCAGCATTCCCACTAAATGATCACGCCACCAAACACAGATTAAAACTAAAGTAACCAGCCTGTTTGGAAAATGTAAGAAGTAGAAAGTACAGGTATTTGGGTTTAAAATGTAAGAAGTAAAAGTAAAAAGTCGTCCTAGGTGTATGTACTAGGCAGGCAGTAACGAAGTATTTGTATTCCGCTACTTCCCACCTCTGATTATAAAGGATAGGAAAGGATGTGTAAGTCTATGAAGGTCTTGTGAGCAAGGCCGTAACCATGGAGTCAACATTGGGCGGGACCAAAAATTCAGAGCGAGAGTTAACAGCTCATCTAGTTGCATCTGTACTGTAGCTAGTAGCCTAGTTTCAGCTACCGGGGTGGCATGGGGTGGCAACAGCCACCCTAAAAATAGGCCTTGCCACCTCAGCTGCCACCCCAGTTGGCAGCTTTGTTTTGAAAGAAAAGTTGTGGCTCATCTGACATTTATGAGAGAAAGTCTCTAATGTCCGAGTGCAAGTGAATGCAGCACAAGATGCACGTCTTGTAACTCCTCCCCCGGCCCTGGCGCGAGCGTGGAAATATGATTGACCCAAGTACTGAAGGAATGAGGTATTTGCGGTCTACAATGACAGAGAAGAGACTGTCAAGTTTGGCTGTACTCGGCATTGAATCAAAACGCACTAAAGCTGTTGATCTTAATAAGTTTGTGAGGCGTTTTGCTGAACAAGATGGTAATCGCCGCATTCAGCTGTAATAGACATGTCAACTTGATGCTCTGCTCACGGATGAGCATACAAAACTGTTAAGATGATGACCTTACGTGTGTAAATATTTTTTTTTCTTTGTGGGGGTCTGCCCCCAAAAAACAGTTTTAAGTCCTGAGAAAGTCAAATAAGACGGTGTGTAAAACTACACTGCCCAGCCAAAAAAAAGTAACCACTTTGATTGAACTAGGCCAGTAGGTAAGGACATTCCACTGGATAATAACTGAAGTATAAAAGAATGCATGACTGAAGTGATGGAGACCATGTTTGAAGGCAAACAAAAAGAGGAAATAACAGGTCAAATCAAGCAAATCCCCCTCTCAGATTCCACAGCAACCAGAAGAACATAAATACTGGCTGGTGATTTGATTAATCAGCTTTGTGATGGAATAAAAAATGCACAGTGCATTTCCTTAGCTGTGGATGAGTCCACTGACACCACTGACAATGCTCAGTTGCTGGTGTTTGTGAGTTTTTATGATGAGGCAAAGGGGGAGTTTGTTGAAGATGTGTTGGGCCTGACGAACCTCAGTGGACACACAAGGTGGCAAGACATTTATAAAGCAATAATGGGAATGCTGAATGAAAGAGGGTGCAGCTGCCTTTATTCATAACTGTGCAGCTCACACTGCGACTCTGAGAGATCAAGCACAGACACAATAACAATGAAAACTGCTGCATACAGATTATTTTTGTTTTTGCAACCTCGTGTTAAGAATCTTGTTGCAATTGTTTAAAAGTTTGAACCGTAATAAACGGACCTTTGTCTTATTGAAACATTTTTTTTGGACCTTTAAGATTTGTATTTGAGTACCCCTGCTCTAACCCTAAGCACAAAAACGGGAGAGACGAGAAACTGCGACACCGTTGGCAGAAGGAAGAATGGAGAGACATATGTGGAAATAATACCATAAATAAAATGTTACCTCTCATTTATTATATGAAGAATTCATTTTCAAACATTGATTAAAACCAATCTTAAAATGATTAAACAAACGCCTGTTTGCGACTCCTCAGTGCACACAAAAACATAACTTGGAGAAATAAATAAATACGGATATGTTATGTTAATGTTATGAAATGTTTTCTCATAAATGATGCGGTAAGCAGGAGGACAGAATTACGTCTAAACTGACGCCGTTTTGCATTTCTATAGGTTGTAGATACGAGCATGGTTTTATATACTATCATGTTTAATCATGTTTTATGCCGTTTGCCAAGACTTGATAAGTCGCTCGTAAAACACAGGAGGTATGGAAACTAAGAACACCATGTGGTAAATTGTACAGCTAATATAACACAAGGCAAACACATTAGTTGTATTTCCTTTAACTGGTGGATTATGGATATATAGTTGCTGATCGAAAGCTGGAACACATACCACCAAATACAAAAAAATAATTCAGAGGGGGGGGACATTTTGAGCGTATCTGAATATTTTGTACATTTTGGCTGAATTCACCATATACATTGGGGGGGATGTCCCCCCCCCAATGTATATGGTGAATTCGGCCCTGCTTGTGAGAATGAGGATCTCCGACAGGGGAACGCCACCACTGTTGGAACAAGTCTTGGCCGTCTCCACAGCAGCGTTAAAAAATCTTGAAACGCTTCTGCCCATTCACTTTGAATGGGGTGACGTCACTTTCCCTCACTTTTCGCCGAAATGCTTTGTGGGCAGGCGAGCGGAGATTTTGAGGATTTTGAGGATTCAAAGTTGAACAATGTTCAACTTTTGAGGCTGAGGTGGAAGCGTCAGCCAATCAAATCCCGTGTACGCAAATCTGACAGTTCAAGCTCTAGCCAATCAAACGGCGTGTATGCTGGGAGAGAAATACCGCAGGTCATTTCCTCATATTCCAAAAAATGGAGGAGAAATTAGCGGTAGCGAATCAATCACCCGGTGCTTTATGACCAGACCTACCGGGATATAAACCGGAGGAGCCAGGCATGGAGGGAGGTGGCAGAGACAGTGGTAGGTTTTCGCCTGTTTTGGGGAGTTTATATCCAGTTTACTTCGGGCTTTTTTGCTTCGTATGTCGCGGGCGGGAGATTCATGTGATTGGTTGCTCGCAAAAAATCCTCAAGCTTCAGATACGCCCACCTCCAAGATTTTTTTAACGCTGCTGTGGAGACGGCCCGTTCAGAAACACTGGCTTTTATTTTGAAAGGTATAACCGGAGGCCCGCACGTTCTCTTGTTAACGTGACGTGTGGAACGCATCACCGCAGCTGTTCTCAGCGTCACCGTGAGAGGAGACCGAGGAGATAGTCTGGTACCGTTACCGGGCCGGGATACCGTTAGTAAAGAATCATTTCCTTCCAGTTTAACGGAACAAAGCCTGGGTACCGGTTATCATGGGAAATATCCCTTGCCAGCGCGGGAACATCGGCCACGAAGAACACAGCTCATGTTTTGACGTAAATCAGGGAATATAACTGCTGACGGCGAAAACACAACACCACTCTCTCTCCATCTCCTCCATTTTGGTTGTCAGTGATGGAGCACATCCGGACGCCCAAGGTAACAACGCTCGGCATTTCTCCAGCAGGGACTTCACGTAACGTCCCTCCTCTGTCCTCGGCTGTGTTTCCTCTGGTGTGCCCTCTCGCTTAGCTTTTATTCAATGACGCGCCAGGTTCGTCCTTCTCTCTGCATCAGCTCTCCCCGCTCTGTCTCTGCTGAACCCCGCGGGCAGCTCCACAGTACCGGCTGTCTGTGAGGGACAGCCCCGGGAACACGTTCTTGTGTCCAGTTAATATTCTGCTTAACACATATTTACCAAACACATTGACGGTACACATTAAACCAATAACATTGTGTTCAACCTCTAAATTATTGACGTAACTCTAAACACAGCTGGCGCGTGTGGTGCTGTGGTTTTATGATGCTCATGTGCTCGTGCGCTGACATCAACAGGTTTTGTTTCTTATGCAATAGGAATGTGTGATCTATTATTCTGTCCTGTAATGGTGATACAAAACAACCATTTCCTCCTGTCTGCCAACCTCTTAAAGGCACAGAGGCCTCAAAGGACCATCCTCCCTGTTTCCACATTGTCTGATAGGCTTTATAAGGAACATTACTAATCATGTAATACACACATTCTCATAACTATGTCATGTGTGGCAACACTTACTGGATGACGTGTATTTTCAGGCACACTTAGATTTAGCTCAGTGAATGTTGTAATCTGATGAGTCATGGCAGAGGCTGTTGGGAGCTGCTATTGCAGTTAATAAACTATGTTGTGATTATGTGAGTGGAGAGACATATTTCCTATGTATTTGTCATGTTTAGATTTGTCTGTCTCTGATATTTTGCCTCTGGTAGGTGGAAAATGTGCGTCTCCTCGACCGGTCGTCAGGACAGAGAAAGGCCAGCATTGGGACTCTCTACCTCTCTGCCACGCACACCATCTTTGTAGAGAACAACCCAGAGACACGCAAGGAGTCTTGGGTGAGCAGGGAGCCCTGCGCGCCACACTCACAGTCACATCTCAGATTCTACGACGTGAATCCTGGCGTTCTTTCTTCATTTGCTGACTCCTATCCTTGTCTGAAAAAGGCTGTTTCAATGTAACTGAATAACCTGCTTAAAGAGGGGGTGGGGGACACTGCCCTGTCCCTCTGGACCTGACCAGATAAAATAGGCATCCAGCGGGGTCCGATTTCTCCCAGACTGTCTGCTGGGTTAAAAGGAACAAAGAAAGCAGATCCCTAATAGCTTGCGTTGAAAACTAGATAACTCAATAATGTGGCTTGTGTTGTTTTTTGTTTTTTGTATAGTGCTGATTGAAATTCCTTACTTGTGTACTTAATAAGATTAATTAAAAGCCTCATTAGTTATTAACAAAAGGAACCAATCGAGAAAGTGGAACATTGTCAATACTCTTTGTGTGTGTGTGTGTGTGTGTGTGTGTGTGTGTGTGTGTGTGTGTGTGTGTGTGTGTGTGTGTGTGTGTGTGTGTGTGTGTGTGTGTGTGTGTGTGTGTGTGTGTGTGTGTGTGTGTGTGTGTGTGTGTGTGTGTGTGTGTGTGTGTGTGTGTGTGTGTGTGTGTGTGGTGTGTGTGTGTGTGTGTGGTGTGTGTGTGTGTGTGTGTGTGTGTGTGTGTGTGTGTGTGTGTGTGTGTGTGTGTGTGTGTGTGTGTGTGTGTGTGTGTGTGTGTGTGTGTGTGTGTGTGTGTGTGTGTGTCAGGTGTTGCACAGTATGGTGAGCAGTGTGGAGAGGACCCCCACCATCCCCGCAGGAAGTCAGGTGATCCTGCGATGTAAAGACTTCCGGGTCTTCCAGATCCTTGTTCCACAGGAGAGAGACTGTTTGGATGTCCACACCTCATTGGTCAGATTGTCACGACCAGGTGCTTATGTGTTTGTGATTGGTTAAATGTGTTTTAAAGGGATTTCATAAACACAGACCCTGGAAAGCATGTTGTCAGGAGCAGGTGTGTTGGGGTCTTGTGTTCAGTGTGTGAAGATACTGATTTCAAGTTATTCTCCTCTCCTTTCCTCTCCTCCCCCTCTCCACTCCTCTCTCCTCTCCTCCCTCTCTCCTCCTCTCTCCCCCTCTCCTCTCCTCTCTCCCCCTCCACTCCTCCCCTCTCCTCTCCTCCTCTCTCCCCCTCTCCTCTCCTCCTCTACTCTCCTCCTCTCTCCCCCTCTCCTCTCCTCCTCTACTCTCTCCTCCCCCCCTCTCCTCCTCTCCCCTCTCTCCTCTCTCCTCTCCTCCTCTCCTCTCTCCTCTCCTCTCTCCCCCTCCTCTCCTCTCCTCCTCCTCTCCTCCTCTCCTCTCCTCCTCTCTCCTCTCCTCTCCTCCTCTCTCCTCTCCCCCTCCTCTCCTCTCTCCTCTACTCTCTCCTCCTCTCTCCTCTCCTCTCCTCTCCCCCTCCCCTCTCCTCTCTCTCTCAGAGAAGTACAGTGAGCTGTACTGCCTGTCCTTTAACCCCAATGTGAATAAAGAGGAGAGGCAGGAGTCGTGGAGCTTCATGGACCTGACGGCTGACTACAAGAGGATGGGACTTCCTAACAACCTGTGGGTTTCTACAGCGGCCAACAGTGAATACAGGGTCAGTGTGATTCTTAGCTTTAACTATGTGCTTTATTATAGTGTAGGAGATTAACAATGCGTCTCACATTAAACAGTACCTAAGCTCTACTATTTCCATAACTCTTATATACTTGTTAAAGTTGTTAAAGGTCCCATGTCATGGCCATTTCTACTGATCATAATTCCATTGTTGAGGTATACTAGAATAGATTTACATTGTTCAATTTTCCAAACTCACATTGGTTTCTCATACAGCATCTCTGTATAGTATGTGTATTCACTCTCTGTCCTAAACGGCTTGTTGGAGCTCCTGCCCCCCCCTCCCTGTGAGCCCACTGTGCTCTGATTGGTCAGCTCGCTGCTACGAGGAACTGACAGTGTGAGCTGGCTTACTGGTGTGGTTTCCGGCTTGCTGCGAGACAGCGAGACATCGCGAATGGACGCGGGAAGGGGGGGGGGCGTGCTGAGGGGGCTGCAGCAGCACTAAGCTTGTTCTTCTGGCTCCAGACTAACTAGGGTTCCCGTGGGGTCTTAACAAGTCTTACATTTGGATCATCAGAATTCAAGGCCTTAAAAAGTCTTAAATATGATCAAAAAAATAAGAAAGGTCTTAAAAAATGATGGGATTTGAAAGGTGCTTCTGTGTAGCGATCGCGTCTAAATGTGTTTTGGGGGAAATGTCCGGGCTGCAAAGTAACCTGTACGCTAAGAGCCTTTCAGTTCCCCCCAACCATTTGTATTGAAATAAATCAACATGGAACCATATATAATCACTAACTTTGCATCCGGCCCCTTTTCGGCGAACACCCAGCTAGTAACCTAGCAACCAAGCTTCAGCTAGCGGCAGTCAGAAACTCATGTATCTTCAAATCTACTTTCAAATAAATATGGTGAAGTGTAAGTTCAACCGTATTTGGTTTGAAAACATCGAATTTAGTGCTTGGTTGAAACCAGTGGAGGGGAACGTGTTTGAAGCTGAACTTCTTTTTTTTTTTATAGCGTTTTTTTGCAAATGTAGCGTTAGCTAGTGCAGCGTTAGCTAGTGCAGCGTTAGCTAGTGCAGCGTGCTCCCGCAACAACATCCGGGCGACGTGTGGGTCGACGTCAACCCTAAAAGCGGAAGTGCTGTAGACGCTAAATACCGTAGCTAAACACCAATCATACAACAGCAACGATGAAAGATTGTAGCCAAGGGAGCAGAGCTCAGAAGATAGCCACACACACACACACACACACACACACATACACACACACACACACACATACACATACACACACTTCTTCTTCTTTCATAGCAATTCTCCTTCATACTTTCTTGCTGTGAAATAAGTCTTAAATTCTATTTAAAGTGGTCTTAAAAAGTCTTAAATTGGAGTTGGTGAAACCTGCAGGAACGCTGCTAACTGTAAATCATACATGAATTTCATAATGCTGTTAGACTGCATAGAGTGTGCAGATAAAAGCTGATTCAGTTGTTTAATACATGCATGTTTTCTTTAAGAACAAATAGCTTCCCTGAAGGAGGAATTTGACCTTTTTGGAAAAACACATTCTTTTCTGTAACCACGAGAGTCATTCATGTCATAAACCATTATTATAAGTGTGGCATATAGATATGTATGGTTAATATCAAATCTGAGTTCAGGTTAGTGTAGGGTAAATCCAAATGTTCAGGGATTATATCCATAATATTGCCATAATGTCCAATTATTGCACATTATGATCCAACTTTGGCACAAACACTGTACTGAATGCCGAGAAACAGTCTGTTACATACCCCCTGTAAAATGACCACTTTAATGGTAAAATGGTTGTCAATATTGTAGTTTTTTGTTGTTGTCAACAACTGCCATAAAAACCCAAATCTAGGATGAATTGATCCTACTAACAGCTGTTATACGCTAGACAGTAATGTAAGTGTTACAGTATGTACATTGTTCCTCTGTGCCATAGGGCGTATTTTGTTCCATTCTTCAGTGAGCCACAGCATATACTATAAACAATTTCCCAATAAGGATCAATTTAGTATATCTAAACTAATATGTTGTCTTTGTTTATCATCATTTATGGTGGACAGGAACCACGTAACAGTTGGTAATCTGTATAATCTACAAAGTTAAAATATATGTTTCCCCCCCCAGGTGTGTGAAACGTACCCATCCGAGCTGTTTGTTCCAAAGTCGGCCACACCCCCCATCATTGTGGGTAGTGCCAGGTTCAGGAGCCGAGGACGATTTCCTGCTCTATCCTACTTCCACCAAGACACTCTGGTGTGTGTGCGCACACACACACACACACACACACACACACACACACACACACACCAACAGACTTTAAACAACAGAGTCATGAATGTAGTGAGGATCATATGCAGGGTGTTGTCTGCACCGGGTAACAGGGGCGCTGCGCCCTCTTACTCTCGGCGTGAGCCCTCATACCAACATTTCAAGTGATTCCAGAAAACAATATTTCTGTTCGTCAAAAACTGTATAATTACTCCAAAAATGTGAAAATCATGTCAAATAGACCGTCAGACGGCACAGACAGCAGAGGAGCTTGGAATAAATATGGGATGGATGTCCGGTGGGTCTGCCGGGGGACGAGTGGCAGGCAGCAGGCTTACACTCTAACTGTGATTTCTGAATTAGATAGTTTCTTTAACTGTCCTTTTTTCTGTAGAGGAAGTCAAGAAACCGTAAGCAGCTTTAAGACGTGAACAAACCATTATTTTCCACTTCGCTCTAATGCATTATTTCCCTGGAAAGTGGGCTTAATTTAGGCCGGTAGTGACGTTAGCGCCCTCATACAATATTCTTCTAGAAAAACCCCTGCATATGTTGCTGATGCAAAGGACTCAGTGGGAGTGTACTACAAAGTGTGTATTGTGGTGACATCACAGGCCGCAGTGTGTCGATGCAGCCAGCCTCTGTCCGGCTTCAGCGGCCGCTGTCAGGAGGATGAGGCCATGCTGCAGGCCCTGATGAAGGCCAACCCAGGAAGTGACTACATCTATGTGGTGGACACCAGGCCCAAGGTAACACACACACACACACACACACACACACACACACATATATACTTACAAATATACTGTGAGATTATAGATTGTTTGTGTGTGTTTGGGTACAGTTGAATGCCATGGCAAATCGCGCTGCAGGTAAAGGCTACGAGAATGAAGACCACTACACTAACATCAAGCTGCACTTCATCGGCATTGAAAATATTCACGTGATGAGGAGCAGCCAGCAGAAGATCATCGACGGTAAGAAGAGGAGCACCGTGTGCAGACTGAGGAGTTCTGTGTGAGGGTCACACAGAACTCTTCCTCTGATAGCATCTCTCACTACTTTCCTGTCTCCCTCTCTTCCATGCAGTGGGTGAGATGCGATTTCCATCCATGACTGACTTCCTGTATGGTCTGGAGAACTCTGGTTGGCTCAAACATATTAAAGCGATCCTGGATGCGGGTCTCTTCATAGCCAGGGTGTGTACACACGGCAGACTCACACACACGTTTCAGTGAGACAAATATCATCTGTGTAAAAAGTCATAAAACCCATTTTGTACTAAAACCAACAATCAATGAAGATCGTTTCTCTCTCTCTAGTGTCAGCTTTAATTCAGTATTTTATGAATATTTCAAACATAAATTGTCTTAAAGCAGCAATAGATTTACAGGAAAGTCAAAGCAAAGCAAAGTCCGGTCGTATGACAAAGAACGTGACAGTTGGTCATTAGGATACCTCGTTGTGGTGGGTGGAATTATGACTTTTTGCCAGAGACAGTTCTATGAGGTCTGTTTGGTGTATCAGGGCTTTGACCCGGCTTGGGGGGGTCCTGCTGTTGAGCTGCTCTCTGTCCCCTGCAGGCCGTGGCTGATGAAGGAATCAGTGTGTTGGTGCACTGCTCAGACGGCTGGGACCGCACCGCCCAGGCCTGCTCTGTGGCCAGTATACTGCTGGACCCTTACTACAGGACCATCAGAGGCCTCATGGTACACACACACACACACACACAGTACTTACAGCCTCTTGTTCTTACCTCTGATTTGATCCTCCTCTTGCTCCTCCTTTCCTCGCTGGCCTCCTTTGTATTTCCTCCTCTCCTCTCTCCCAGGTGCTGATAGAGAGGGACTGGGTTTCCTTCGGACACAAGTTCTCCCACAGGTAACTGTGGAAGTCGGACATAATCTGACCTTAACTGCATCATGTGTGTTTATTGTGTAAGACAAAAGGGTCAAAACAAGTCAAAATCACTTTTTCAATACTGGGATGAAAGCAGGTTCAGGCATCGGATGTGATGCCAATCCAACCGGGGTATTTGATCACATAGGTGCTACCTCTCTTTAAGTTGCAGTATTCATTATTATTATGATGATTATTTAAATTGAGGAGAACAGATAACAAACACTGTTAAACGGTTAATTACTTGTGAAATGATAATGTGACTAGTTCAATTACATTTTCTAAAAGCCCATTGGAGGTCATCAGAGCTCAAAGTGATGTCACTGCGATTATTTCATGAGGTCATCAAAAGGGCGTCCTGACCACTTCTTATCCAAGCTGGGGTGGAACATTTTGTTCAACATTTTGTAGCTTTAACAAGCACACAAATAATATAAATTCATTATAATTATACAATTACTGATTCATTATTTATTATATCATCCATCACAGACATCTGTAGACTGTTTTCTCTACATTTAAGCTCTGACTCACTCATGAAGAGATAACATTTGAGAAATGGTATTAATGAACATTTCAATCCTTTCTCTGCTCTCTTTGTTTCCTCCCTTCCTTCCTGTACCCGTCTGCTTTTCTACTGGAGGCACTGTACAGCACTGAACTTGAATATAACTTGATTTAGTGGAGAGAATGCAGTGTGTGTTGGGCAGTAAGATGGAGCTGTGTCCCTGCAGGTACGGCCACCTGGACGGAGATCCTAAAGAAGTGTCTCCTGTCATTGATCAGTTTGTGGAGTGTGTGTGGCAGCTGTCCGAGCAGTTCCCCTGTGCCTTCGAGTTCAACGAGCGCTTCCTCGTCGCCATACACACACACATCTACTCCTGTCAGTACGGGACCTTCTTGGGCAACTGCCAGAAGGAGCGCAGGGATATGAGGTAGGACTGAAACACACACGGTCGCTTGTATTGGACTGTGTGCAGAGACCAGCACAGTGTGCAGAGTTCTGATGAATGACCCTGTGCTTGTGGTACTTTGAAGTGTTCCATCACTTTATTACTATTATGCTAACTTTTACCAATTATTTTCCAAAACTGCATCAGTTATAGTCCCACTGCAGTTTGTCAAGGACTTAGCAAAATTGTCTTCACGTGGGCTGCGTGTCACTTCTCTTATTTCTCATTTCCTCGCTCCTCGGTCTCGGTATCACCGGAAGTTGATTTGTCTGCGCCATCTTGAGTAGCGTCCCAGTGGCCTTATTTGTGCCGGAGGAGCGAGGAGCGATAATCGAGGAACTACCAGACCATCCTCCGGTGAAATCCTCATACACTCGCCCCGCCCCCTTACTGTGTATCGCTCACTGATTGGACGATGCAGCTGTGCGGCGTCATCACAAACGGACGTCGCTTCACGTGACGCTCCGGAGGAAAGGACGTCCCATTGCTCTTAAAAACTCATTTCCCTGCTTCTCGTGGTTTCCTTGCGTCTCTCCATGCTTCCCTGGTGGGAGGGACGCAAGTGAGGGATGCAAGTGAGGGACGCAAGGAAACCATTTAACCGAAGTGACACGCACCCATGTCCATCACTCACATCTTTATTATGATGTGTATTATGTAGTTCCACTGCAGTCCCATCAGGATGCATGCTGTCAGGACAGTAACAGATCATTGGTGTGGTTGCTTTGGTTATCCTAAATTAACTTCTGCCACACTGGACTGGCAACAACATTGAGGGGAGTTTTCATTTTGTCAGTGCTGACCCTCACATTTTGCCTGGGGGATCTTGAAGATCCAGATCCAGTTTCCCTCAGCTCCCTTGTCTGTTACAGCAAAGAGTGAGTGCTGCATTTGAGAAGGTGTCATGGTTTTGTAACATTGCTGTGTGCTGTGGACAGGCTTGGAGAGCGGACTCACTCCGTTTGGCCCGAGCTGTGGAAGGAGCGGGCCCAGTACACCAACCCTCTGTACCGGGCTGAGCAGAGCCAGAGCCAGGGGGTCCTGAGGCCCAACACCACCCCCTACTGCTTCAAGTGAGTCCCTGCACACGTACACACGGTCATTTTTATTTTGTTGGTCCTACTTCTTTACTTTCTTCAACCCTAGCAACTCGCTGTCAGTCAAACATAATCTCCTAGGAAATGATTGTGAAGAAAAACATTGGCAAAAAACACGTTATTTTCTCCTTGTCACTCGTCTCAGGATGTGGAAGGGTCTCTATAACCACGCAGAGAAATCCACGCCTCCTCGTCAGTCACCTGCTGACTTCCTGTCTACTGTGAGGGAAGAGTCCCAGCAGCTGGAGGAGGAGCTGGCCAATCAGCAGGAGGTACCGCCGGGAGGAACCCCCCACCATCACCTGGGCTTCAGACAAGGCATACAACACACTAGCACACACCCCCAACATGCATCACTGCAAAATGAAGCTCTAAGGTCTGTGATCCCGTCTGCCCTCATCAGAGCAGAGTTTATCCTCAGTGAGTCACACACAGAGCCACACTGGCCTGTGGCCCCCCCGCTACCATCCCTGACAAAAACAGAAGCAAAATGGAACTCATCAAAATTCTCTTGAGAGGCCTCTCAACACTCTAATTTCCCCTCCTCGACTCCCCTCCTCGACTCCTATCCTCGTGACTTAGTCCCGCCCACAGGAGATGCGAGCGGAGGAGTCGAGGAGGGGAGCCGAGGAGAGAGGAGGGGAAGCAGCAGGCGGTTAGAGCGGTCATTTTAAAGAGACGTCCATTAATGATGACAGGAGGCACAGCAGCCCTCTGTCTGATGGACAGATGTGTTCATGATGACTTATATATTTACTTTTAATTCACAGTGCGGTATAATGAGACAATAACAGGCTACAGATGCGGACATATACACATATATTTATATAAATATATACAATTTCAGAATCAAACAAGTATGAGAGCACTCTCATAATAACGTAACACAATCAGAGACTGGATATATCCCCCCCCCCCCCTCTCTCTGGTCACTGAAATGGGGAATTGAAATGACGGGCCAAAAGTTGTATTTACAAGTATTAAAAGTAAGCATAGGACACCAAACCAACTGAGACCCGTCTGTCCGTCGCATCTACGCACACACACACATGCACCTACACACTGTACCACACACACACCTACACACTGTACCACACACGCACCTACACACTGTACCACACACGCACCTACACACTGTACCACACACGCACCTACACACTGTACCACACACGCACCTACACACTGTACCACACCCCTACACACTGTACCACACACGCACCTACACACTGTCCACCACCACCTACACTGTACCACACCCCCTACACACTGTACCACACACGCACCTACACACTGTACCACACGCACCTACACACTGTACCACACACGCACCTACACACTGTACAACACGCACCTACACACTGTACCACACACACCTACACACTGTACCACACACGCACCTACACACTGTACAACACGCACCTACACACTGTACCACACACGCACCTACACACTGTACCACACACGCACCTACACACTGTACCACACACGCACCTACACACTGTACCACACACGCACCTACACACTGTACCACACACGCACCTACACACTGTACAACACGCACCTACACACTGTACCACACACGCACCTACACACTGTACCACACACGCACCTACACACTGTACCACACACCTCCCTACACACTGTACCACACACGCACCTACACACTGTACCACACACACACCTACACACTGTACCACACACGCACCTACACACTGTACCACACGCACCTACACACTGTACCACACACTCACCTACACACTGTACCACACACGCACCTACACACTGTACCACACACTCACCTACACACTGTACCACACACTCACCTACACACTGTACCACACACTCACCTACACACTGTACCACACACGCACCTACACACTGTACCACACACTACCCCTACACCTGTACCACACACGCACCTACACACACTGTACACACACGCACCTACACACTGTACCACACACGCACCTACACACTGTACCACACGCACCTACACACTGTACCACACACGCCCTACCACACTTTACCAACACCTACACCTACCTACACACTGTACCACACACACCTACACACTGTACCACACACGCACCTACACACTGTACCACACACACCTACACACTGTACCACACACGCACCTACACACTGTACCACACACACACCTACACACTGTACCACACACGCACCTACACACTGTACCACACACGCACCTACACACTGTACCACACACCACCTACACACTGTACCACACACGCACCTACACACTGTACCACACACGCACCTACACACTGTACCACACACGCACCTACACACTGTACCACACACACCTACACACTGTACACACACACACCTACACACTGTACCACACACGCACCTACACACTGTACACACGCACCTACACACACTGTACCACACACGCACCTACACACTGTACCACACGCACCACACACACCTACACTGTACCACACACACCTACACACTGTACCACACACGCACCTACACACTGTACCACACGCACCTACACACTGTACAACACGCACCTACACACTGTACCACACACGCACCTACACACTGTACACACACGCACCTACACACTGTACCACACACCTACACACTGTACCACACACACCTACACACTGTACCACACACCTACACACTGTACCACACACACCTACACACTGTACCACACGCACCTACACACTGTACAACACACACCTACACACTGTACCACACACACACCTACACACTGTACCACACACACCTACACACTGTACCACACACCTACACACTGTACAACACGCACCTACACACTGTACCACACACACCTACACACTGTACCACACGCACCTACACACTGTACCACACACACCTACACACTGTACCACACACGCACCTACACACTGTACCACACACCACCTACACACTGTACCACACACACCTACACACTGTACCACACACCACCTACACACTGTACCACACACACCTACACACTGTACCACACACGCACCTACACACTGTACCACACGCACCTACACACTGTACCACACGCACCTACACACTGTACCACACCACACGCACCTTACAACACTGTGTACCAACACACGCACCGTACACACTGTACAACACCACACCTACACCACTGTACCACAACACCTCACACTGTACCAACACACACACCTACACACTGCTACCACACACGCACCTACACACATGTACCACACACAACCTACACACTGTTACCACCACACGCCACCTACACACTGTACCACAACACGCACCTACACAACTGTACCACACACGCAACCTACACACTGTACCACACACGCACCTACACAACTGTTACCACCAACACACCTACCACACTGTACCACACCCCACACCTTACACACTGTACCACACACACGCACCTACACACTGTACCACACACGCACCTACACACTGTACCACACACACCTACACACTGTACCACACACACCTACACACTGTACAACACGCACCTACAGCTCCTAAAGCATATAATATAATCAGGCTACAGCCGTTGTGTATTTTATTATGTGAAGCACTAAATGGTCTTAGAAAAATATGGACTCTTTGTTTGTAGATATCTACTAAACTACAGCAAACAAATACAGAGAGTAATGTAGGCCTGTTATACTGAGTGATATATATTATACACACTGCTCTGCTTTCTGCACGGACCTCACAGCTGTTCTCACTGTAAACATCGCGTCACGATGAAAGCAGTTACTAAAATAATATCCAGGGGATGCATGCAGAGCTGTCATTGGCTGAGATAAGTCCGGCCGTGCGTCACGCCTCCACCGTTCCCGGAAATGCATCCGCGGAGAAGCCGTGGAGGACCCATCAGTGTCTCCTCGGTTATAGCTCCTCCAGAGAGCCTCCTCGATGCTCAGTCCTCGATGTGCATTTAGAGAAATTAGATGTCCTTCAACATGGCACGCTGAAATCCATTTCCGGGTCACTACCGGAGGACCGAGGAGTCGAGGAGGGGAAATGTAAGAATTGAGAAGCCTCTTTAGTGTCAACTGTTCACCAACAAGCCCCAACTCGGCTTTGGGAATTTGCAACTGAATAAGTTACAGATCTAAAAAAGGAGAGACCAGGAACCCAGTACTGCCCCTGCTTCCTGCCACACACCGACAAACAGAGGCCCACTGGTCTACAGTGAGAGAGGAGTCTCTGGTCCACTGTCAGACGGCCTCACAGGTTTAAATAACAGTAGAGAAGTATCCACATTCATCTGCCTTATGTGAGCAGTGTGTGGAGACATCACAAGTTTGGGAAACATAACCGTGATTAACCTCCAGCGCACACACTTCTGGATCTTCAATGAGCAAAAAGAGCGTGATGGTATTTAAAGACTAACACGTTAGTTTCATTTTTTTGTAGAACAACATATCAGACACAAATAATAATGAAGCATATTTAAACTTGTTAAAACATGTCTCCGGGGAACCTCAGTGTATTCCTTTCTGCTGCTAATCTGTCAGGATTTCCCAGGATTCAGTTTGCTCTTATCTGTCCAACTGAAGTTCAGCCACCCCCCCCCCCCCCCCCCCCCCCCCCCCCCCCCCCCCCAACACAGTGAGAGAGGAGATGGTTTTCATCGTTATGGAGATGTATGGGGGAGGGGCTGTTGAATTTAAGTGTGTGTTGTTCTCCTGCCTCTGCAGAGGATAGCAGCCCTGACCGGGGAGCCAATCACGTGGGAGAAGGTTCTGAGGAGGAGGACTAGCCGCCCACGGCCCCCCCACTGCGGGCCGGACCCGCCGTGTTTTATACAGACCCAACCAGCAGCCCTGCACAGGAGCCCCCCCCCACCCCGCAGGATCTCCCTCTGCAGCAGACCTGGGGTCGGGAGTCGCCGTCTTCTTCACTGCTGCCTGAGAGGACAGAGACCCTGGTGCCTGGCTGGAGGGGGGACTTTTCTTACGGTAGTTCCTTAAATGATTGAGTCCAGCTGGTGGGGGGGGCAGAATGTGACGAGTTAAACTAGTTAAACATGGCTGCTGACAGCTGGATTGATGTCTCGTCTTCAAACTGTAGTTGGTGTCTTTAGAGTCTCAGTGAGTTAGACACTGTCTGACCGAGGCACTGGAGACATTTCTTCTGACTGTTTTAATTTATTTTTTTCTTGCTAGCCAGAAAGGCTGTTTTTTATTTCTGTCATTTGTACTTTTTTTAAAGGAATCAACATTACTGCTGTGAGTTGGATAGATGTGACATGAGTCCAGACTGAACCAGTCCGAAGAACACATAGGAGAACAAACATGAACTTGGGTCATTTTAAGGGCGTCATTTCAACAAATACATCCTTTGCTATATGACAGATTTACTGAATGATTTATTATCATTGTTTGTGTGTGTGTGTGTGTGTGTGTGTGTGTGTGTGTGTGTGTGTGTGTGTGTGTGTGTGTGTGTGTGTGTGTGTGTGTGTGTGTGTGTGTGTGTGTGTGTGTGTGTGTGTGTGTGTGTGTGTGTGTGTGTGTGTGTGTGTGTGTGTGTGTGTGTGTGTGTGTGTGTGTGTGTGTGTGTGTGTGTGTGTGTGTGTGTGTAGTGTGTGTGTGTGGTGTGTGGTGTGTGTGTGTGTGGGTGTGTGTTGTGTGGTGTGTGTGTGTGTGTGTGTGTGTGTGTGTGTGTGTGTGTGTGTGTGTGTGTGTGTGGCACTAGTAAAGTAGGACAGTCAGAGACTCCCATCCATAACAGTTTCTCTGATTTGAATTAGATCCATCAGATTCAGGTTTCCAGTGAGTGTGAGAAATAGCATCTGCTCAGTAAATTGCAGATGTTCTGTTGTGTAGACTCAACACTGGGGGTCAATAAGCAGGCAAATTATTTTCCCCATGGTCCATTTTCCTGCTCAAAAACCTTTCACTCCATAAAACACATCTCTGCCACTGCCTCTGTCAGTATTTAGAAACCAGAGTTCAAAATATATAAAATCCTCCGAAAGCTAAATAACCAGTTTGCAGTGGCAGCCATAATGAAACAAAGGAGAGTGGAACAGGAAGTGCACATGGTTTACAGTGTGAATGTTTTGAACCAGTTTGAACTAGTTGTTACCAGGAAGAGCAATCAAAAAAATCTGAACAAAAACATGTTTATTTATTTATGGCCTTTTATTCTTATGTTTCAGTGTACTGTCTACACATGCTATCTCCACACTGATGTAATCATATGTATCCTCAGTGTACATCATAAAATCCAGTGCAGTTGGTCAGATAGATGCACTGAGTGTGACTAATGAGTGCTTTCAGGTGATCTTTCGCTTTTTACATTCCCACCAGATGAATACCAACAGCAGGAACTCTGGGAACATGTCTTCAAAGTTTATTTCATGTTTATACTCTGTTCGATCCATATTAACACATCAGCAGCACATTGTTGTGTTAGTGTGTCGTAACGCTGACAGTAAACCTGCTGTGGCTCCATGTGTCACAGATTCATTCCTAACACGTGGACTGAGTGACGGCCAGTGTGATAACTGAATTCTCATTGGCCCTGGCAGGTGTGAAAATATATAATAACGTAAGGGTGTGAGGACAAATGTCCATGTGCTGCTGTGTATGACTACATGTCCCTTCTCTACCTGAACCTTTTTCTGTAGCCTGTGTGTTCTGTATCCATTAATGTCAATGATTTATCAATAAATGCACTGTTAAAGGGAAAGAACTGCAACATACTTGGGTTGCGGTCGAATTGTCAGTTTAGTTTAGGAAGGTTCCTAACCATGGATGTATAATAAGAACTGGATACAGCGTCGGAGGCGGGGGTTGCAGTCAAATAGTCCAAAAATCAGCTCCTATCGTCTTCTCCTATCCACTATTCCTTAACCTCTGTGTGAAACGTCACGGGGTTAAGGAATAGTGGATAGGAGAATTCAAAAGGATTTAGGATTAAGAGACTGCGGTGCTATATGTGACCCTATACTTTCCAGAAACATATCCGAATCAATAGTAGAATATTCAGAAGAATAAAGATTTGAGTAGAATTTATAAATTTCTCCTTTTTTCTAATCCACTGAAATAAGATGTATTTTTCTCCCCTTCCTCTACCCATTTAGCTCGGGATCTTACATGAGCACCTTGGGCTTTTTTAAAGTATAAATGATCTAGTTTAGTCTGTAGGCCAATGAAATTACTTTTATCATCATCGGACATTATAGTCTTACTGCAACAATGACTTATTTCCTGCACCAATTGGATCTCATACTGCTTTTGTTGTATACTTTTGGATTTATTATGTTGTATTGAAAACTCCCTCACCTTGAATTTAAAATACTCCCATCTACTGCTAGAACTATTTATACTCCTGTCATCTTTTATTGTCTGTATAAGGTCTCTAACCATTTTGATAAACTCCTCATCTTTGAAAAGATCTGCATTACATTTCCAATAATCCTTTTTAAACGCCTTCAACATTTAATACCACAACAAGCCAATGACCGATCTCATCAGCCTTAAAAGTGACAACCTTCCCAGGACATTTGTTAAAACATATGGCTACACCGCCAGAACGATTAGAACCGTGGCTGAACAACATTTTTTCTCCCCATTGGTTCGACCAGAAGGTGGCGTCAGCGTCGCATGAATGAGTCTCTTGTAAAAAAGTGCAGTGGGCTTTTTGTCCCTTACAAAATAAAAATACTGCTTTCCTCTTCACAATAGCCGCGTTCACACCGCAGTACTTTTCCCACTTTAGTTCCGATATAGTTCCGAAATGTCGCGTTCACACCAAAAAGAGCCGGAACTAAAATGAGTTCATCAGAACCTTTTTTACCCCCTTTTCCGTCAGTTTTCGTGGGAGAAAAAGGTTCCTATGTCTGATTGACTGGGCGGAATGCAAACCACGCCCCGTGAAACTCCAAAAAAGTTTTGTGAAGCCGCCATTTTATTATCCTCGCTTTAGCATTATTAGCATTAGCATTAGCCCAGCGCACAAACGCAGAGAGACTAACTTATGGCAACACAAAAGAAAACATGGGAGCCAGTGGCGTAACTATCGACGGTGCAGCCGGTGCAAAAAAATAAATAATATATATATATATATATCTTTTTTAATATTATTTATCAATATTATTTTTTTGGGTTCACGCAGTCTTCAAAGTAACCAAGCAACCTAAATTAATTTGTCTGTCCAATGACCTTGCTCCCTCATGTCATGTGATACCTTGCGTGACGAGCGAACCGTTTAATCAACCTGTACTGTACTGTAGCTAGCAGTAGCAAGTTCGGTAGCATTATAAAAAATGTAATAGCTTGCATTTATAATGTACAGCAAACCAAAGCACAAGAGCAGCGCTCAAAAGAGAAAGGACAAGAGAGAACAAGAAGACGTAACAGCTAAACTGACAAAATTAGACCGTTTTTTTTGTCCTACATTGTCCTCGAAATCGAGCGCTAACATTAGCAATGTTGACGTGCAGCGGCAGCCGGAGCCGGAGGCTAACGATAGCTCACCACCATCATTGCCATCTAGCTCCACAAGTGAAGCTGTATCCGTGGCCGTGGCTGTGCAACCTTCTTCTCCAGCCAGCCAGGAGGAGAGGCTGGATTTGGCTGTGCCCGGCGGTGGTCCAACAGTTCCCCCAAGGGCCCCAACCGATAGGGGACTCTATGGCGCTATTGAGACCCCCGACGCCAAGATCAAAAGCTATATTATAGCAACTGGTCTATGTAGGCCTACCGGCCCATTCCCCAGAGACAAACATCAAGGAAACAGGTTTAATCCTCTTCTTAGTTCGCTGTGCCGTTGTCAGGCTGTGGTGGTCTGAGGCCAGGGCAGGCTGTTGTTGATAGCCTATACATGTGGCGCTTCTGAGTGGTTGTGTATGTCCGTGCGTGTGTGAGCGCATCAGCGTGCGCTTATGTTTGGGGCAATGGGGGGGGGGGGGCCCCCAAAACAATATTTGCACCGGGGCCAATCACAACCTTGTTACGCCACTGATGGGAGCGGTGGAGATGAGGAGGTGTCGGCGTTCTGGCGATTTACTCGGAAGGCTTCAGTAGAAGCTGCTGGGAGTCCCATGCAAGTGCAACATTTAACATTAACATTAAAACTAGTTATTTTAACACAATTCTTACAAATTCAAAATTCTAACAACATTCTTTATCCGGGCGTGCATAGACCATTGGTGCGTTCACACCGGACTTGATGCGAATGACGCGTTCGCGCGGTAACCAATCAGCAGTGAGGATCTTAGCCTGCCGTCACTGATGTTGAATCGGAAAACCAAAACATCAGCCGTTAGCTGTTAGCACTCAGAGCTCACAGCTCCTCATATCTGTTCAGAAACTGTACAAAAGTTAAACAAGTACAAACCACAGACTGTCTGTGTCATGGTGAATACAGTCGCTGTTGTATCTGTGTCTGTATCATGTTGTTATGAGCAGTGGCGTTTTCTCCTGGAGGCCAAGGGAAGCCAGGCTTCCCCTGTTTTTTCGGATTGTAGTTATAATTTTAATAAATAAATAAAAACACTTAGTTTAGTTTCGGAAATTCTTCTTTGCTGTGTGTTGCTGCCGGCCCATCTCTCCCCCATTCTCATTGAGTATTTTACAAAGAGTGAAACAGCGCCCCTCTAGATGTTATAGAGTGGCGAAGTCCCTCCCCTTCCGGTGGACCTCCATGGGACCTTATTTCGTCAAAATTATGTATTGAAGTCAATGGAGAGAGAAAGATTATCTTTCGATCCCGTTTGAATTGTGCCACGAATTACACATATGATGTTTGTCAATTTTAAAAGATAATTTTGCAAGTCAAAAAAAAAAAAATGTGTCGTAAAACTGTGAAGTAACACATTTGTTTGTGTGAAACGCTCAATGAACTACATCTCTGGTCAACAACACACGTCACCAAGATGGCCGTCACTACTGTCTTGTCAACAAAACGATTGACTATCCTCACTATCACCACAATGAAACACGTCCTGAAGAATGTCATGCAAAGCTGCCTGCCTGCCTTCCTTTGATTCTCTCTGAACTGCCTGGTCGTTTTAATGTTTAATGTCAACCATTTGTGCAGATAGCATGAAGTAGAGAAGATCGCCGATGCTAACGTTAGCGTTAGCATTTCTCCCCCGGGCTTAAATGGTGTATTATAGAATGATCACACCGGTGACAGTACTATTCAAAGGGTTCACGAAATATGACTACTACTCTTACTGTTTAACATTTTGGGTTACTTAATGTTACTTCATGTTAAGGCTAATACAAATGACAAGGCTGTAATGCTAACTAACGTGCTAGCTACTAGCTAGGTAGCTAACTTGATCAAGCCACTCCTGGTCCTTTCATCAGACGGGAAGCAAAATAACGAGCAAGACCCATTGCTGGTATAATAACAACCTGGTACTAAGCACACAGGCATCTTGTTAAAGTTATCTTATCTTAGCCAGCGCCATATAGATAGATTCCATCTA